CATTGAACCCATAACCCCAGGCTATTTAAAAGGTTCCAGTTACAAACATTGAAACAGCCAATAATAAAATACCAGCCTAGTAACTAACGGTAGTGGCTGCATATTCCATGTTTTGTATTAATGTAACACATATCACGCAAAACATTGCGGACTGATAAAAAATAACATCCCCTATATAACATCTTGCTGTCTACGCGATTGTTACATTTGATGAGATATTTTGACACAACATCACAAATAACTGACACGAAGTCACTGAAGTATGAAACCCAGCCTAATCTAATCAGAAATGCTGTGCGTACATTTTCTACAATACTATTGTTCCTGATAATTAATGTGTGCAGTGAAAATACTTTTTGGCAAGAATGCTCCAAATTCATCATCACCAATTCCAAACAGCGCCCCTAGCAGAAAACGTAGGTATAAGTTCCAACTCCATACAAATTTGAGTTAACTTTTACGCTATCGAGAACGTTAAAAAAATCGCGATAAGCACACAGACGGTAAGCTTTAACGGTCTTATCGGAAGACGGAAGACCTTAACCTTTTCAATCAAAGGTTATATCAACCAACCGAATTCGTTCAAAGTAAATAAATAAAAAAATATCTCAAGGTGGGTGGCGCATTTACGTCGTAGATGTATATGGGCTCCAGTAACGACTTAACACCAGGTGGGCTGTGATCCGTGACCTGGCCCCCTAAGAGCTAGGGGTCCCACCCGTTTTGTGCGGGGAGAGACCCAGACGTGGGGTGGCGTGCTCTGCACGCTCACCCGCAATAGGAAGCCGGGTGATGGTAGACCGCGTTCCCCCGACCGCTCTGGGGGAAGGTGTAACGCGGCGCCATCAAAGCGGGCTCTCGGCCCGCTGAACGAGGGAACTGGTGGTCGTGTCGCTGGCGGCCACCGGTCCGGCGTCCGTGGGACGGTGGGATGGATGTAATGTGCTCTGCGTCAACCCTGTCCCGCCGTTTCAATAGCCCCGACTGGGCTCCGGCCCGGTCCGAGGTAGGACACCGGTCGTGAGCGGCAGGAGTTTTTAGTGAGGTTCAACTCCCACATACCCCACCTGCCGCGCGGGTGGGGATCCGGCGCTTTTCGCCTGTGGAAAAAAAAAAAAAAAAAAAAAAGTCGGGCTGTGAGCTCATCCACTCATCTAAGCAATAAAAAAAACACTTCCTTCAGTTTTGCAAGTCATAGACGTAATCAAAAACGATTTTTTTTATTAAGTCTACTAAAAGAAAAAATACTATATTTACCCCGAATAGGGATGAAACTTCTTTTTTTTTTACCAAAATATTTTTATTGCATGCAAATGTCCTTTCACCTAAAACTCAATATTCATCCTATACCTTTAAACGAGCAATTCTTGTATATTAATATATATGTATATCATCTGAATCTCGGAAACGGCTCCAACGATTTTCATAAAATTTAGTATACAGGGGATTTCGGGGGCGATAAATCGATCTAGCTACGATTTATTTCCAGAAAATGTTGTTTTATTCGTGTTTTCAATAATCAACTCTTCCCGACATCTATTGGCGAATAATAATACCTACTATTTTTCTTAATTGAGGGCAACTAACCGCTTTAAAGACACAACAAGATGGCGTTATCAAAAAAAAAACCGAGCAAAGCTCGGTCATCGTATAGTAATTCCTAATGTTTGAAAGCAATAGCAGTAAAATATGAAATCTTCAAGTGTTTTGTTTTTTTTTAATGGAAAAAGCAATTCGCCTAGGCGAAGTGGTATGCACCTACTAAGTTTGCGTAGGTAAATTAGTTGCTAGTTCTGTCTGTGAGCAAGTTAAATTGCCTCCTTGACTCTCAACGCTACTTTAATTTTTCGTTCTGGAATGTTTTTCGCGAGTAATCATGTTGTCTGGCTTTGTAGATTTAAACGTATTACTTTTCTCTTTGATTTATATACTGTTGCAACTAAAAATTTAACTGGCGCTGTCTCCGATCTATTATATAAAAAATTAAAGCCACATTAAATTGTTCTAAACTCATGGCCTATTCTATATTGTAAGTAAAAAAGATAATTGCACAATGGGCGGTTTTGATGCTTATTACTGCCCCTTTAGATAAGCAGTAAGTGTCACTGATTTTACGGTTTTTTTATATGGCTAAAAGAAAAGGTTGGCGCATTCCATCAAAGAATAAGATATCTAATGTACTCATATCAAGCAATTGGACTATGTGGTAGGCTTACAATACAGGTACCATTCTTTTAAGGAAACTCTCTCTCTCTCTCTCTCTCTCTCTCTCTCTTTTCCCAGCTATTTATCCCGCATGGTGGTGGGGTCAGCTTTCTTCCCTTTACTTCTCCAATTCGCTCTGTCTTCGACATCCTCGTTGGCAACATTGCATTCCCTTTTGTCCTTCAGCACTACATCCTTCCACCTTGTCTTGGGTCTACCTCTAGGTCTCCGACCGGGGAGGTTTTATTTTTTATTTTTTATTGCTTAGATGGGTGGACGAGCTCACAGCCCACCTGGTGTTAAGTGGTTACTGGAGCCCATGGACATCCACAACGTAAATGCGCCACCCACCTTGAATTATAAGTTCTAAGATCTCAAGCTTAGTTACAACAGCTGCCCCACCCTTCAAACCGAAACTCATTACTGCTTTACGACAGAAATAGGCAGGGTGGTGGTACCCACCCGTGCGGACTCACAAGAGGTCCTACCACCAGAGCGAGTAGTAGTGCCAAATGTCCGACGTAGTCAGGTGGCTTCCATTGGCTTGGCATTTTTTTAAGGAAACTCGTGCTTACAAAAACATCCATTAACAAATGACTATAAAGTAACATTTTCTAAAATGGCTTAAAATCGAACCCACGACCTTCGGCGCAACAGACCGCTAACTACTGCGCCATAGTTCATACACTGAAACTGCACCACCGAGCCAGTCAAATTCAGTAAGAAGACATTTTACGAAACTGGCCATAGGCAAGGCGTGACAATTGGATATTTAAGTGCTGTGTGAGAAAATCTATTATCCTGTTTGAATAAAACAGGCTTTATCTTAGAGCTAACAGGACGCGATTTTACAACCCATAAATTTACATGCCCGCGACTTTAAGTGAAATCGATTCATATGGAATGACTACCAAAAATTCTATTAACTTAGAAACAGTTTACAACTTCATGCTGTATCGAAATTTTTGATGCGGGTGACAATAGTGAGCCAAATTTGAGCTAGACACTTGAGATCATGCAAAGATCCTTACACCCAAGTTTATAAGCTCACAATGTTGGTTAGGCAATGCTCTGTATTTCAACTTACAAGACTGTAAGTGTAATTCAATATTACACCATACTGCCTAATTCTGGTGAATGCTGTAACAGCAGCTCTTTTATTTAACCAAACTAATTGGCTTCTTGGAATGCCGTTGTTGCCAATGGCGAGCTTACAAAAAACAATTCAAATATAGAACACTTATGTACAATACTCTGTTCTGTGCACATGGTGGAACCCATATAAATTACAACTTCAATCCGCCATCAATTTTGAGACATTCATTTGCTACTTCAATTGTCTTAAATAAAGGCCGTCCCACTCTTAAATCCTTAACGGATGACTGTTTCGCGACAGAAATAGGCAGGATCATGGTACCTACTTGTAGGGACTTACCGCCATACCACCTTAGCAATAATAATAGCCAATTGGTGATCCCGGTACGCTGAAACAATACTCAGAATACGCTGCCCCATTACTTTGGTGAGTTTTAATTGCCCATTAAGACACCCACGGGAAGAGTAGGAGTGGTGCTCTTGTTAGCCCCACAGTAAAAATTTGTGTAGCTTTTCAGGAATATTTCTCAGCGTGTTAACTATTCGTACACTATTCTTACTTACGAGGCAGTTGTACGAACTCCGTCCTAACCTCAATCCCGGTGGTGGCAAAATACTGCCCTACATATTATCATTCCTCATGGTTGCCTTATCAGATTTGCTTCGTTGAAAAACAAAAAGGTAAACTTACAGTAAACAAGTCAAAATGTAGAGTAAAATCTGATTTCAACGAAAAAACGTAAAATTACTTGAGCGTCTGAAGCTTAACGAATTGGACATTTTTAAATAATTAAATGTGGGTAATTAACTAAATAATCTAACATTATCAAGTAACGTGAAAATAATAATATGTATTTGAGTAACTATTAGTTTTTACTTTTCGAAAGCTTAGAATTTTTAATGAACATTCAAAAGAAAAATAAGATTACAAATAACGAAAAAATGGTATGGATACCTAACTTCCCCGACCTATTTCATAAAAGAGAATAAAATTAAATGCATACAACAAAGTGAATATTGTACTAATCCAAGGGACTTTTTGGCATGAACGCGAGGAGTGAAGTTGTGTGATTTGTTTCATTTTGTCTATTTAGTGTTTCTTCAGGTGTGTAATAACAGTGGTTTATTAACTATTTAGTATCTGTGAAAATGCATAATGCACAAATGTGGGAAAATAAAAAAGCCGATGGACGTAACTTCTCGGGATCCTACAGAAACTCCGCTGAAAATATCTCAAATTAATTATCTTTATTTCATTTCATTTCACTCCATTTTATAATTTTTCAAAAAAATAAGAATATACATTAAAATTTATTAAATCTCTCAATCTTATTAAAATAAGACATGACTTAAAGGTTTTAGTTACCCGGTCATAAAATCCCTTAAAAAAAACCAAATTGACAAGTACATAAAACAGCTGTGTTTTATCAACAATGATCAGTAATTAAGGCTAAATATACACATATTTAACCTTAATAATCTACAAAGAAACATAAAATAGCGGGCAATTTTCTCCCCATAAATTTATTTCTCATTAATAAGTTAATATTTAGGTTATGTTACCAATTGCATGACTCAAGGTGGTTTTGTATAAAATGACACGAAGTTTTTGATATTGCGCCTTCAGTGCTCGGCCTTATACGGAGTAAGGATATTGTTTGCTGCGAAAACTCATTGTCATTGTGCAAAAACATATCGTCATGAGTGAACGCGAGAACCCAACTAGTTCCGGTTCTAAAGACCAGAATGAAGCGAACAGGACCTCATCCCAACCAGTACCTATGGCCTCAAGGTATGCTCTTTTTTTTGCGATAAAACGTTGAAACATACGCACAATTGTTGCATCACTTCCTCATCAATTTTTTTTTAACCCATAGACACAGCCCACTGAGTTTCTCGTCAGATCTTCTGAGTGGGTCGCTTTTCCGATCCGTTGGTAGATTCTCCGAAGCTGCTCTTTCTAGGGCCAGTGCTAGAAACACCCCCGGTTTGAGCCCCGTGAGCTCACCTACACGTCAAGGTGAAGCTGAAATAGTCTCTCAAGGCTATCAGCGTAAGTAGGGAAAAAAAATTCTTTGCAACAAAGGTTTTGTTTATCTTTATTATGTTTTTGTTTATGTCATTATCAATGAAAGATCTTTAATGTTCAACTAAGCTAATAAACTGAACAAAGAGAACAGTTTTACATAAACTAAACAATCGCTAATATCATAATGAAAATGTTTTATTTGTATATGGGCAAATGACTCATTCCCTACCAAGTAGTAATTGGTTAATGGAGCCCATAAATATTACTATGTGACTTACTCTATCCAAACAGAGATGTGAGTTTTAAACCTCAATGGCCTTGTACAATGGTTACACCTTTATGAAAATTATATTGTTTCATTTTAATATGAAAGTATGTATGAAATACCACAAAGACTAAATTGAAAGGGTTTTCAATCGCTCTGTAACCCATAGTAGTGAATCAAATACCATTTTTTTTGTTTCATATAATGTTCAAAATAACACTTTTTTTTTGTTCTAGTAACAGCAGCTACTTTTCTGGAGAACCAATTCACTTCAGGGTCAGAGGTTCAACAATCACAGGAGCATCGCCACCCCAGTTTGTGACATTAGAGGATATTATGAAGGCAGCTCATGGAATGCAAAACATGGCTTTAGCCCACGAGATTGCTGTTGATAACGATTTTAAGTTGGAACCATTTGATCCTCCAGACAACAGGTGATATACTTGATTTAAAAAAAATTACATTCTTCTGAATGAAAAACCATATTTCAATATTTGCTCACAAAAATGCATATTATTTGCTTAAGCAACCAATTGTTTGTATTAATGGCTTTCAATAAACTACTATTACTTCATAAATTTAAAATAATTATGTATAACAGCCAAAGTTGTGTTATAGTTACCAAAAGTTGGTGAAAGAAACAATGCACAGAGCATACTTTGACATTTTGAGGGAACAGCTAAATTCCAATCCTCCTGAATACAAACAAGCATTAATATTACTGGAAGACGTTAAACAGGTAATTATGACTTTATCCTGAGTGTGATGCCATTAAACTAAGATTTTCTTTTAAGTACATTAATTTAGGTCTTAAGCAATGTAAGTCAGTAAGCAATGTAAGTACTTGATGAATTAAAAATATTTTGATAAAATTTGAGGTAATTGAAAGTAGTAACTAAAGATTTGAAGTATTGTTCATGTCTTTATTAGTCTTTAGATAGATTATTATCATATGGGCAAACCTTTGCCCTCAATTTTAATAAATTGTGCATAACATTCTTTAATTTTTTGTTAAATTATTTCTAAATTAAAATTACCTAATGCATATAATGTGTTATGTAATTTAGTGCATAGATTGACAAATGAAATCATATCAACTAGTCATAATAAGAAGTTCACACACCAAAAGTCACAAAAATATTTTAGGGTCTCTTCTCAATATTATTACCAAGACATACCCGCATCCGTGAGATGATTGAGGAGGTCATAGATGCAGACTTCATAAAACAACAAGCTGAGACCAACAGTCTGGACTTTAAGAAATATGCCAACTTCGTTGTAGACCTCATGGCCAAACTAGCTGCCCCAGCAAGAGATGAAATGATACAAAACATTACCACACTCACCGATACTGTAAGTTTTAAATATTTGTTTATTAGTAGAAAAACTATCAAGTTGGTTAGTCCACAGGACATCTAGATAATGCTAAGACGTAGAAGACATGAGATCGAATTTTTTCTATTCGCCTTTTAAGCAATATCTAAGTTAGTGACTATCTCCAAATAGCATGGAAGTCGTTGTGGCCTAAAGGATAAGACGTCCGGTGCATTCGTATCTAGCGATGCACCGATGTTCGTATCCCGCAAGCGGGTACCAAGTTTTCTAATGAAATACGTACTTAACAAATGTTCACGATTGACTTCCACAGTGAAGGAATAATATAGTGTAATAAAAATCAAACCCGCAAATGGCTTACCCACCAATGGCTGCCCCACCCTTCAAACCGAAACGCATTACTGCTTCACGGCAGAAATAAGCAGGGTGGTGGTACCTACCTGTGCGGACTCACAAGACGTCCTACCACCAGTCAACTTGTTTAGTTAACTTGATAAAATAAACGAATAATGAAATAGGTTTGATAATTAACCAATTTTTTTTTTTAGGGACTGCTTCTTATCAGTACATTTTAGAAAATTAGTTATTTGTCATAACTTAATGACCACAGAAATATCACATTTTTCATTATAACAAAATTTGTCGTAATTTCCTCAATGGCTTACCAATTAAAATTGATATTGTGTTTTACATTAGGCTTCAATATAATTATCAGATTTTTATGAATATATGCTACCTAGTCTTTAAAATTCTTTTATGGTCTAAACTCATCTTTATTCAGATTTTTCCACATTGAACAATTTACTGTTAGGCCATTTTTATCATAATAGAAATAGATAATATTCATGGTATACAAATATTTTCATCAGGTAGAGGTCTTTCGAGCTATTCTAGAAGCACTTGAAGTACTGAAGCTAGATCTGGCCAATACATTGATCACTATGATCCGTCCTCACGTTCAGAAAGAAAGTGTCCAGTACGAACGAGCCAAGTTTGATGAAATGCTTAAAGTTTCAGAGGGTAAGCGAAAAAAAAAAAACTATATCCATAATAAGTTCATGACTTGAAAAAAATCTTTGCGATTCAATTATGGAGGGTAGAGGTAAGGAGTACCGTCTCATATGGGAGAAGCTTGAAAAAGTGTCCCACATTCAGCCTTAAATAACAATTCAAAAATCCTCCAGAATGGCGTTAGCATAGGCATAGGGTATGATATGAATTGAGCAGTTATTAACTGATTGAAGTATGCTGAGTTAGGAAATTTAATATATTTAATGACTAGAGTAGTTAGTGACAGTGTAATAAACAAGACCGCACATGCTTACGTAGTCCAAACGAATTTCGTCAATATAACCTAAAATTATAGCTGTGGTAAAACGTGGAGACATCGATTGCATTTTCTTATCAGCTTTAAATAAGATACTTTTTGTGATTTTGTAGTGCTTACAGTTCTTTCGTCCTTTTATATTTCTCTATCAGATCTTATTCTAATAAATTTCAGCGCCTTTTTTAAAATTTACCCGGTTGCTACTGTAGCGCCACCGTTATTTAGCAGATTTTAACGGACACTTTTTCACACACAGAGACGGTTCTCTTTACCGCCGCTACTCTCAATAGATTCAATGAACAACAATTATCAATTTTTCCTGGTAAATTGAAACTTTGGTCAGTTTATGACACTACTGGGAAGGTTCCTCGTATTGTATTAACATACCAATAAATGGTTGTTTTCATGTTATCATCATCATCATTCTTTCCTATTACCCTCTGCTGGGGTGTAGGGCTCGAATCAAATTTTCCCATTTACATCGGTCTTGGGCAGTCTGTTCTAGCTCCTCCCACATCATGCCCAAGACCCATAGCTCCTGCTCCACCGAGCGACGCCAAGTTGTTTTCATGTATTTAGTAATAATCATTAAATTAGTTTTAAGATTATATTGCAGTAATAAAACTGTTACAGACGGCCTTCAAAATACTAGGGAGTGGTTAAAACGACACATCGACAAAACTGATCTCAGTATACCGGTCACTGATCAGAACATAATCAGGAACGTCACCGCCCAAACCTTAGCCAAGGCATACCTAGAGCTGTTGGAGTGGGATTCGAGTAAAGGGTACCCGGAGGTAACAAATATTAATTTCTTCTTCTTTCACTCTTCTTTATTTCCTATTACCCTCTGCTGGGGTTTAGGGCTCGAATCAAATCCTTCCATTTACATAAGTCTTGGGCAGTCTGTTGTAGACTCCTTCCACGTCATGCCCAATACGCCTATGTCCTGCTCCACCGAGCGACGCCAAGTTGTTCTAGGACGGCCTCTCTTCCTATTGCCAGACATTTGTCTGTGTGGCACACAGTCACACACACAAATATTAATTTACTAATTACAAATTATTTATTAATGCGTTAGATCGAAAACCGGATAATATAAATAATTGGCATTTCTTGAATTTCATAACCGACTTCAAAAAATGAAGTGTTTAAAATTCTATTAGGTATACTACAATTTCTTGTGTATTAATTACCTCAGCACTTTTTTTCTAGATTATTCAGTTTTGGTAATTCGTTTTATTTGAAAGCTGGTGCTTCTCCTGTATTCCACTTTGAATTTAATCTAGATCAGTAATTTTTGAGGTATCCTTAACAAAACATATTTAATGAATTTGAATAAATTAATATTCTCATTTTATATTGTTGAAAAAGGATTTCCTTATTTCTTAAAAAATTGTAAAAAACATCATGTATGTTGATTTTATTTTTTGTTAAAAATTTATATTATATGCACATATTGATTTCGTTTTTTTATTTTTTTTTCTTATATTTTTTTAAAGGTTTGACAAACATTCAGTTGTTTTTATGTACAGTCCGGATCTCATATAAACTATTATAAAAATGTTTGTTCTCAGAATTCGAGCTCAAACGCTCAACTTTATCGTTTTGCTGTTTAAATCTGTAGTTGACATTGGGTTAAAGAGCTGACTGCTTCCAGACGGTAGCCATAGACGCGCCCCGGTTCTCAGAGCTGGGGGTGCAGGTGTACCGGATGTCGTGCGCGGCCGCGCTGCTTCTGGCCAGCCCCGCGTGCTCCAGCGACGCCGACACCGCCGCGCGACACAAGGAAGCCCTCAAACAGAAGCTCTTCATCATCATCGACGAGGCCTCCAATGATACGTAAGGCTTGGGTTGAGCTCACGAGCAACCAATTCACTATTCAATTCGTTTACTTTTAACCTAAACTTTTTTACGTAGGTAGTTTAACCCGTTGACTGCCGCGTAGGCCACCGGTGCCCTACGCTGCGCACTGAAGTAATTATATCGATTTCTGTTACTTTCTGTCCTTCGTCGCAAGCGACGGGTTCGACAAGAACGATGACCGGGGTATTAAATTAGTCGACATAGAATCAAATTTATATTTATTGTTTTATTTAGAGAACTAAGATCGGTGCTGCCATCTGTCGCCGAGGAGGTTGTATTAGCAACGGAACAACTGCTAGAAAAATTGAACCAGCCTCCGCTGAACTCAGAGACGAAGGAACTCATACGAACCCAAATAATCTCCCTGGGTGATCCCGAGCATAGAGTTAGAGAGATTGTCCGTATGTATTGTTTTAATATGTTCTCATACGGCCAAATGAGCTGTCTGTTAGTGGGCTTCGCCATCTATAATCATATAATAGAAGTCAGTACGAAAAAAAGACATTAGATTAATCTATTAGAGCATAACATAAAAAATAACGAAGGATGAGAGGCTATTATGTATATGCGACATTTTTGCAACTTTACAGGAGAGCTATTTAAAGTTTAATATTTTGAAAACATATCGACGCTTGAAAGGTAAACGTGACTAAGCGACAATGCGTGAACTTTACAGTAGACTAATTTAAAGTTGAAATACCTGAAAACAAAATTTATTTTAACGAATCTAGCTGTAGTAGAATCTAGCTAGTAGCTGTAGGATTGAAATGATTTTAATAGACCTAGAAATATTTTTTTTTTGCGCATCGAATATGGTTATTGCCTATCATTTATGTAAAAAGCAGTTATTGTCGCTTAGTCACGTTTGCCTTTCAAGCGTCGATATCATAACAAAAAAAAGTTTTTCGGCTATTTGAATGGAGTAAACTTAATTGAAGTTCAATTAAAGATATCGAACTGTTGATGCTAATACCTAATAAAACGGACCTTTAATTACAAAGATAATTATCGCGTATTAATCGAAATTATAAAAAAAAAAAAAAAAAAATTAAGACTATGCACTTCTTCTCCATATAAAGAATATAAGTGTTGGAAATTTCATACTCCTCCGCCTGCTTTTCGTAAAAAGGCGTACAAAGTTTTTGCTTCACGTATTAATATATAGATGTCGCTTAAACCACCGTCACCTTTCGCACTTCGATAAGATAAACAAATAAATGAAAATTGTTCACCAAACAATCCTAGCATGAAAGTATCAGTCCGCTCGGGTCTTTAACAAAAATTTCAACGATATTTGACATTTTTTTATTTTTTTAAATAAAATAACACTTATTGCGGCATAACTATAATAGTTAGACATATGCTGTCGCGACACTATTTGTAAATAATAATGTGCTCTACAAAGTCGTAGTACATTATTTTTTTCTATCATCAATAATTTTTGCAGGGCACGCGATGTAAAGAATATTTTAGGTAATTTTTTTACACTTTGGGTTAAATTATTGGAGTTTTATTAAGGATCCCTATTTTTTCAAAATAGATTATATATGTCACTCGGAATAGTGTAGCTTACGATTAGTAAAAGAATTTTTCAAATCGGTTCAGTAGTTTCGGAGCCTATTCAATACAAACAAACGAACAAATATTTCCTCTTTATAATATTAGTATAGATTGACAGCACTGTAAAGATTGTAAAGTGACACACAAAAACAATGGGTTTCAGGTCAACGAGTTCTGGAGTTTCTGAAGGTCATACTGGTGTGCGGCGGAGGATCCCGTCAGATACCCGTCGGCCTGTCGGTGTTGTCGCGGGAGCTGACCGACGTCTCGGGGACCCTGCTGCGGTACGTCATGCACAACAAAGCTGTCTTCACGCAGCACTACCTCGACATCGTCGCCGAGGAGTTGAGTAGGAACTGAAACCAGTTGCCTTCCAACCGGAGCACGTAACAGTTCTCCTGTACTCATAAGCATGTAACGTAAAGAGTGTTCACGAGTGATCACGGTTTGTATCCTGCTAGCAATGTGTGTGTGTGTGCGTGTGAGAGAGAGAGAGAGAGAGAGTGAGAGTATTCTTTATGGTACACCAACAAAACAATTCGAAAGATTAAATACAAAAAAGTATAATTAGCGGTCTTATAGCTAGCTAAGAGCGATGTCTTTCAGACAACCATCAGGTGGAATCATTTGTAAACGAATTACACACGGTGTACCAGTTAATTGAAATATATATAATATACATACATAAACATACACAAATTCACAAAAGTGTGTTTACATTACTAATATCAAGTGTGGTGATTGCATTTAAACTGCTTTTCTTCTCGAAGTCCAATAATTCGGGTCAATGAACTCCGCCATAGCGTCGACTTTCCTAGCGGTTCATACTTTGTGTAGAGCTCAATCAGCTACTCACATGAGTCATCCAAACAAGTGATTTGAAATAGCAAAAATACTAGGTGATACAATAATACCTATTATAAGAACTGTATAACTCTTATCGTATGATAAAAACAGGAGCAACGCTATATATAACACTATAGCGCTAAGATATCTCATACGAAAATAATGATTTAGCTTAATACTCATTGTGCAAACGCGCGATGTGCGACTTTAGTAAAAGGATGACTATTTATACTAATAAATCGACACTCCAATATTTAAATTCATCATTTTATGTATGTATAATGTCTTCGCATTTCATGTTTGGCATTTTTTCATGTAAAGATGGAAAAGAAGTCATTTCATTCGAGTCATTTTTTAATCAACGAATAGCAAAGTTTGTGAAAACTAAAAAAAACATTTGACAGAGAAAAAAAATGATTTGTCTGAAGTTGTGTTGTTGTGTAAAAAATGTTTTGCGTATTTATTTATAAAGAGATATTGTAAACGAAATATTATTTATTTATTTTCCTACTTCGAGAACGGTTTTCTTACACCCTGTATAAAAAACTATGTCTTTGCTAGGTCAGTCGTATGCATTTAATCTATGTCAAATTTAAGAAATACTAATGCTGTTTTCAACACTACATAGAAATTATCTATTTTATTATTTATTACTAACTAATATTGAAAAAATATAATATTTTGTAGAATTAAAATTAGGTAGCCTAAAACATCTAATCTCTAAAAATAATTTATATATACTGCTATCATTCACAGTTTCATGAAACTAATCTAACTTTTTTCAAATGAAGACTACTATATTCTAATTTTAACTAAACTAATATTTACAATTTTACATTACTTCATTACAATGCTCTTTATTGGACCTTTGAATTATCATTAAACATGTTTTTATATTAGTGACTTTTAAATTTTTATTTGAATCAGAAATTCTCAGCAATAAACGTGTTTAAATATATAGTAATATTCATATAAATAGTAAATAATGACAGTAAAACTTGCCAATAATAATATAAATGAAAACTTTGCAATGCATCTTATTAATTATGAATTTAAAAATTCCGTATGTAACTCTTATGATTAATTTTCGTCCATTATATTACCTTTATATGAATTTCAAGTTCCGTTGAACTAACTCTAAAAACAACAAATATTAAAAAAAAAACCTAAATAAACGGTACCATATTAGTGGTGTTTAGAGGTCTTCTCTGAATGTGCCTAGTCAATATTGTGGTGCTCCATAAAATTTACATTAAAAAAATTTACTAATGAAATTGCCCCCTCTATATAGATTATTATCTGTAGATATGTGGACTCAATAAGGTTTTACACTACATAATAGTGAAATTACAATTATGATGTAAGTTTAAGAAACTAGAGATTAAAATAATAATTGTTACATCTACAAGCTTGCTTAAAATTTAATTAGCGCTTTTACTTGTACGTTGACAAAAATAGAAGAATATTTTTGAATCTCGTATGGCTTGATACGTGCATTGGTAGCGAAAATGTGTTTTAGAACAAAAAAAATCATATTACATGACATTGGAAATAAGATAGTATCTTCTTAAATTACATAGATAGTATTTTGCTTCGTATGCAATAACAACGAAGCCCGTATTTGCCCGATATTTGGTAACTAGCACTGATGACGTCATCATATTTATGAGCACTACTACAATAATACTTTCGGTAGGCAGCGGCATGGCTCTGCTCCTGGCATTGCTGAAGTCCATGGGCGACGGTAACCACTTACCATCAGGTGGGCCGTAAGGTCGCCTGCCTACAAAGGTAAAAAAAAATAAAAAAAAAAATACTAAGCTAGATAATTTCAGTACTGTTAAATATTTTCTAAAATTAAACAAACAAACATCATAGAAGTAAAATTGTCAGAGCCCTTGTGTTAATTATAATCTAAGTGGATTCGGTGCTAATTACTAAGACATAATTACGAAATACACTGAAAGAATAAAACGCATTTTCATAATAATATGTTCTGAAAAAACTTTAGATTTTGTACAAAAAAATACTATATGTATTTTGAACTTGTATATTATATTACACAAATATATAAATAATGATTCATCAATGTTTTGATTGTATTATTTTAAGAGATCAAATTAAATAATCAGCGCAAGGTCGCTCGCTTTGGCATCAGAAACGATAAAGATAATAATAAACTAATGTAACATTTTAAAATAAATTATATAATATTTTGACAAATTAATAGTTATGTAATTATTATAGTTTAACTAATGTAATCTATCACAATTCTAAAAATGACAAATGCATACTACGAAACTCTTCGCATTTGAGTGTATAATAATGGGAACAATTATTTTTTTTAACATGTAATCCAATAAATATTCCACTAATAAAGAATGTTGTTTTAATTTCACTTTGTGTAGAAAGCATAGGTTTGGTACAAATTCAAATTCAAAATCTTTTTTTTCAACTTCGATGTCAGTATGACACACTTGTTGAATGTCAAAATACAAATAACAATGTTAACTCTACCACCGGTTCCAAAAAAAGCCACAGTCCTGAGAAGAACCGGCGAAACAAACTCAGCGTACCTTCCTATGTGAAACGTTTTTTCTTTTTTCGTTTTATATCTAGTGTCAAGTCGTATTTCACAAAAACGCTGAGAATTTTGCCTCTTGATTAACCAATTGGTTAGTACCGTATATAGTACACTTAATATTTAGCACTCAGACATATCTTGCTGAATAGATTACTTACCTAATAATCAAGTAACAGACTTTGAATTTTGAAAGGCATAATAGAAACATTTTTTCATCATGCGATGGCAGGCGTGAGTGGACACCGTAGACAATAGCTGTCCGTACTAAAATCTTCTTAAAAAATACTGTAAATATGTACTGGAGAAAGATGATTATAGCTTTATCCTATACCAAATATACACACATATATGTATATATACAACGTGTCCCTAATTCAACGTTATGAGGGAAACAGGGTAGGTCTGTTCATAACTACATATACTGTAAATATGTACTAGAGAAAGATGATTATAGCTTTGTCCTATACCAAATATACACACATATATGTATATATACAACGTGTGCCTAATTCAACGTTATGAGGGAAACAGAGAGTGGGTCTGTTCATAACTACTACAGAAAAAAAAATATCTCAATGTTTTTTTTTTAATTACAGAAAACAAATGTAAATCCTTCGACAATTCATACGATATATTTAACTACCATGACCACAGTTTTTCAATATTTCTGTTTTTTTTTTGTATCGGCAAGTTGCACTACTATCCACTACAACCCTTAAAAATCCCAGAATGCCCGTAGTTTATACACAAAAATCAATCAAAATTTATTTTTCTTAATAATTTTGAAAGATTTTTAATTTCAGCATCGTGGGGTAAAAAATTACTATTGTTTTTTATAAATTGACGTAACTATCCAAGATTCCAAATGGTATAAATAGTCTTAGTAAATTAGACAGCAAAAACTATTTCTAAACAAGAAGTTTTAATCAATTGTACTTGATAGTAATGTTTATTGTGCCAAAATGAATTACTTGCTCTTGAAAAATGTTGAATAAATTCAAACAAATGGCACAAACGATTTTACATTTATTGCATTATTCAAATTACAGTAAATGATCAAATTGTTTGCTACGGACATTAGTATAGGCATGACATCGCCTTAAAAAAGATCGTTATATTGTAGTAGTAACTCACAGCAAAGCGTGGCCCGTTTTCACTACTAATAAAATAAAAAAGGATTTCCGTTATTTTTTGGATATTTTATTCGGGATAAATTACATATGTTTAAAACACAAGGTCGTGTCAATGTTAAAGTATATCCGACATATTCTTCTTTCAGTCAGAACCACTATGTCTTGACGATGCACTCGACGCTGACCCACTACGTGAACCCTGGGAAATTAAAGAAATTATTTAATCAATAACAATATATTCAATCTTTTTGCCGCTCTACAACTAACATATCAGCAACATGTATTAAATGAATGAATGAATGAAATCATAAATTAGAATATGGAGTTCTATTGTCAAAGACTTATATATTTCTTTAATCACAGATTTCGACAAATAATATTAAAGACATACAGTATTAATCTATTCTCAATTTGACCATAGACTTTAAACAATAACAAAAGTTTGACAATAAACACAGAGTATGCGTGTGTGTGTCAAATACATGCTAGTGTGTGTAATGTTTTTTTTTAATTGATTTAATCTATTTTTTATGCATAATTAAAAAAAGATTAAGATTCTGCACTCCTTCTCTATATTCTCTATAAGTGAGGAAAATTTAATACTCCTCCGTCCGCGCGATTTTCGTAAAAAGGGGTATAGTAATCGGCAAACTTCTTGAGCAAATGACCTTGACTGCGCAGAACCGAATTTTAGATCACTTTGGTGGTGAGGGCGAGGCGCGACGGCAGGGGAAATCGTATCGAGCGCGTTATTGGTAGATCAGTCGAACCTTGCGTCCCGCACCGCACCCTCGTTCCGCTTACTCCCAAAAGTACGCTTGCGTACAGTGGAAAGTCTATCGTTATTAATCGTTAAGTTATTTGTTATAATTGCTTGTGGACTTTGTTGCCATTGCTATTTGTTGAGTGTTTGTTGATTTTTTATAAAACATACACTATGCCGTGACAAACTGGTGTAGTACTTAAAAGAAAGGGTAGAAAATTTGTGTACGACGTATATTGCTTCATTATAAAACAGGGGAAGAATGATATGGAAAAATTAAAACAGACTTCGGAAGCAACAAAAACATCAGTGAGTACTGTTAGGTGCATTATTAACGAAGCTAAAGGCTCTGGCTTGCTCGCCGTGTTTCGGACTCCGGGTAAGAAAAGATCAGGGAAGAAGAAAGTTACCGGAATGGATAGTTTCGTTCAATCTGTAATAAAAAGATGTAATCATAATAACTACATAACAAGCAGCGAAACTCCGTACCGTAGAAAGGCTTCGAAAAATTTAAAGAAGATATAAATTTTAATGGCTCGGAATGAAGCTTACGACGAATTATGAAAGAGCTAGGCTTCAGATGGAAAAAAAGAACAGAAAATAATCGGAAGCTGGTAAATGAAAAAAGTAACATTCGATTACTACGAATCGAATATCTTCAAAAAATAATTAATTATAGACAAAAAAGAAGACCGAATCGACCGAGTTGTAAACTACGCCGATGAGCCCTATGTCGACTCATCACGATGATAGCGACTCGGGTGATGAAAACAGTGATGATGATGATGGTCAAGATTATGATAACGAAAAAAAAATTACAAATACCAGCTTCGCTTCAACTGAACCAAGACCTGGCAACAGCTCTAGTTTTGACTTAATAGAAGGAATATCTATTTTACCTCAAGATTAAATTATTACAATTATTAACCTATATGTTTTGTTGATGTTCTAATAAATATATAAATAAATACATATGTTGATTTTAATAAATAGCATTATGACGCAGAGTAAGTAATGTTTTTGCACGTGAGTGTACCATGCGCAAACTTACCCCCACTACGGCAACAAATGCTCAAGAAGTTTGCCGGTTATTATAGAAAGTTTTTGCTTCACGTATTGATAACTTATACATCGTATTTCTCTCTGCTAATGGTTTGTTGGAAGAAAACTCATGAATGAGTTAAGCTCGCCTTTGTACATAGTATTTAGACATTCTTTAAATCTGTTTTTATTGTATTTTCTTATTGTGTATAATAATAATAAATAAATAAAAGATAATAATAATAAAAGATAATATAAGATAATAATAATAATAAAAAAATAAAGATGATATTACTAGTAGATAAATCTACTACTAATATCATCTTTATTTATGACTGAAGGATTACTGGTGGCTCTGAGGCCTTTCCAGTTTCACCAGGATAGGTGGGGACTAGGTATATCATCTACAAAGGGCTGATAGTATCAGAAAAAGGTCTTTGTCATAAGGCCAGATCGATATAATTAAGATTTCGTTACTACAAGGATAAGGCAGCCTTAAAAATGTACTATTAGTCACCAATTAACAAAGGACCAACCTGTTTCGAACCACTACGCGAGCGACTTCGAGACTTTTCGGAGCCGCTCGCCGATCCCGAATTCCTTCTAGAGCTAGCTCTGGATGAAGCTTTGGAACCTGAAGCTCTCGAAGAAGCTCGCGAGGCCCGGGACGATGCGCGAGAGGAACGTTTGCTGGCCCGCGATGACGCCCGGGAGCTGGCTTTCGAACCCTGGAAGTTTTTATTTTTTTATTGCTTAGATGGGTGGACGAGCTCACAGCCCACCTGGTGTTAAGTGGTTACTGGAGCCCATAGACATCTACAACGTAAATGCGCCACCCACGTCGAGTTAAGTTCTAAGGTCTAAGTTCTTAAGTTCTAAGTTCTTATAATCTTATCAAATTAGTGTATTGTCATCGGTCCTCGATAAATCTACAAAGTTTGAATGAAATCTGGGCGTTTAAAGTGGCGTCAAAATCGCGTCTAAAGGAGTCAGTTACAAACATACATACAAGTGAAGCTAATATAAAGCGTTTTTTTTTTATTGCCCTTGTAAGCAGACGAGCATACGGCCCACCTGATGGTGAGTGGTTACCGTCGCCCATGGACTTCAGCAATGCCCGGGGCAGAGCCAAGCCGCTGCCTACCACTACAGCGTGTAAAAATAATGTCATTTACTTTATCACTAGCTTTAGAAGTAGCACGGGATCCTCTCGAAGCGGAACTGGCGCGAGAGCCCGCCCCGCTCTTGGAACTGGCTCTTGAAGACGCCCTCGAACCAGACTTTGAACGCGAACGAGAACGCTCTGAACCAGATCTGCAAAAAATAATAATAATTGAAGTGATTCGAAGGGAAAGAGGCATTTTACACATCACTCCATCACTGAATATCTGAGGCCTATAAAATCAAAGGCAGCTAAACGTCTTAACGTCGTAAAATGGATTAACAATGGCGCTATCTTGTTTAATTAGTTGGACACGCTTTAGTGTTTTCATGTTATAATAAATGCAGCTAAATCTCTAACAAATTCAGTTCAAAAATTTTATTTTTACTCAGTACTAAGTACTAATAAACGAAGTTTTATCATTTAAAATTCAGATTCTCATTCTTTATAAATCTGCTTTAAAATTAAGAATATCGTAGCTATCCGAACAAAGTTATTTCAGCTTCTCAAGCCGGGAGTGTTGCTAACACTGGCCCTAGCAAGAGCAGTACTTAGATGTATCGGAAGGATCCGTAATGACGTGTTTAGGACCGATTTTTATAGTTTACCTGAATATTTGACAGACTTGGATTTCGCTGCCTTTGATTTTATAGGCCTCATCTCTACTGATATTAAATGAAAATAAATTTATAAGAATTATCTTAAGCGGATTGTTCACAAACGACTTTAACATTGTAAAAAAATATCAAATTCACAAAAATGTATAGAGTAATTGCTTGAAGTAGGATGTGAGCCCACACGTGTAGATTCTCCATGTTTAAGGGCCCCATTAGCCATGAAAAAAAATTACATGATATTTTATGAAAAAAAAACAACCTAGACTAAAATCTAAAATACCGATTACAAAGACAGAAGAGCTAATGAAATCCAGGAAACGATACTAAATATGGATTTCAGTCAGTCAGTGATCGATATCTTATTACTCGACGATAACCAGTAATTATTTTTAAGTAAGCAAAAGTGGCCTAACCTTACCATAGTTTTTATGGAGCAATGAGGTTTAAGTTTTTATGAATTTGAATTTGAGTAGGCAAAAAAACAAGACGCGCAAAAATAATGTTTACAAAGCCATCTGTTATCTATAGGTGAAACTATAGATAGGCCGGTTTTGAATAAGAATTTATTATATTTTAAATAAATTGCAATACATAATTATAGACATGATTATGTTAATTGTGGGTTAGGCCACCTTTGCGCTAACGGCCTCAAATTACTTGTTGCATATCGACGCTTGAAAGGCAAACGTGACTAAGCGACAATAACTGCTTTGTACATAAATGATAGGCAATAACCATATTCGCTGAGCAAAAAAAAATATTTCTAGGTCTATTAAAATAATTTCAATCCTACAGCTAGATTCGTTAAAATTGATTTTTGAAGTTATACTTCTTTAGGCGCGTTATGAAAAATTGATGAGAGTGAAATTTTACGATGCGCGCGCACCGTGACACAAAATTAACAGAATAAAGTTGCTAAATCGCTCATTACAATACGACCGACGTAGTCTGAATATAGCCGCAGGTGAACTTTCGCGCATGTACACTCGTAAAAAAAATGTTATTAGCATTCATTTTTTAGTAATATAAATGACAAAATTATTATTTAATATAATTCACACTAAATATTATTAAATTATTAACGTTAAATACTTATTATTAATTATTTAATATTTAAAAAAAAAGAAATAAATTTAATAATAATAAAGTATAACTTCTTACGCGCGTACATAAGTACACGCACCCTTTTTTTTCCAGGTATTTCAATTTTAAATTAGTCTACTGTAAAGTTCACGCATTATCGCTTAGTCACGTTTGCCTTTCAAGCGTCGATATGTAAAATGTTGTTTACCTCGGTGAACGAGAACGTGCCGATCCTGAACGAGATCTCGAGTTCCTAGAGCCGGAAGCGGACCGAGAACGACTCCTTGACCTCGAACGCGACTTCGACTTCTCGCGTGACGGCGACCTGGACCTTCCCGAGCCTTTGGACTTCTCGGAGCCACGAGGAGACTTCGAACCCGATTTTGATCGCGAACGAGACCTATTGATGTGAAATTAACTTAGAATTTAAACAGGCTGTGCTATCTTATGGTGTATGTGTAATTAAATCACATTTTTAATAATAGAAATTCTAATAAAAACACTACTTTTAAGAATGGGTAATTCAGATTGGTTTAATCTATACTAATATATGAGTCGACTATTATCAAAGCCGGCAATGTAACTTTTTGACAATTATTGGTAAATCAGAAAAACGAATTATTGACTTTGTATTCCATTGGCAGTCACAAAACTCTTCTGAACGACATCTTAGATAAATAACAGGTTAACTATTAACCTTTATTTAATGCAGGTTTTGAACCGTATTCTTTGAAGGAGACGATTATATTCAAATCAATCTGTATTGACATATCAATAACATTTTTTTGTCCAGATGCACAGATTGCCACCTTTGATAATAGACGACTCATATGAACCATGCATCCGATTGACTTGAAACTTGGTATCCATGTAGAAAATACATGTTATTGTACTTAATGGATAGGCCAATATCTATATAAGCGTTGGACTCCTTACACCAGTTGCGGGGGCGATGAGAATCTTTGTGGGGGTGAGAAATAATAATGTTAATTTTAAATTCCCAGCAAAGCGGACAGGTACAGCTAGTATTGTATAAGAGATTCAAGTATCAGTTTTATTACAAAACAGTTGACCCGCTATTAAAACTGGAATTCATGACTTCAGTTCGTGCTAGAAATAGGCAGAATGGTTGCAGGTACTCAGACAGACAGGCTTGTTCATCATCATCATCATATTTATAAGAACAAACTGTAACTGTTTCAAATGATTACCTTTCCTTCTCGCCGCTCTGTTCCTGCTTTTCTTCTTCATCTTCTTCTTCCTCCTCCTCCTCGTCTTCATCCTATTATAAACAAATTTTATACAAGCGACATATATCGAATAATTTAATTGAGATTTATTATTAAATAGCTGCAACTTCGCTCATATGGTGCGAATAAGTGCCAGTGTAGCTTTCTGTGGGTATGAATTATTATTTTTAAGCTAGTATGTATGTATGTATGTATATTGATATCTTACTTGTGGAGGCTCAAGTTGCTTCTCTCTAAGTCTCAGCATACGATGTTCGGTGCTACTGAGAGGACGATGTGTGACCACCAGCCTGGTCGGGGCTTGTGCAGCTGCTCCAGCGCGGGCTCGACGTTTCGACAGACGAACTCTCGTTTCCAATTCATTGTAGTAAACACAGTGATTACGCACCACCTGTTGCATAACATAGGTATAGAAACACGTATGGAGAAAATGTTATTTTGAAATAAATATAATCTCAATGCACCAATCTATGTGACTGTGGTCTCAAATAAATTAATATTGAATTTCTTTGAATTCAATGGGTGGACGAGCTCACAGCCCACCTGGTGTTAAATGGTTACTGGAGCCCATACACATCTACGACGGCAATGCGCCGCCCACCTTGAGATATAAGTTCTAAGGCTCAAGTATAGTTACAACGGCTGCCCCACCCTTCAAACCGAAAAGCATAACTGCTTCATGCAGAAATAGGCCGGGTGATGGTGCGCAGACTCACAAGAAGTCCTACCACCAGTAAATTAGTAAACCAGTAATTATCAAGAGACAGCACAAATGCTATCCAAAACCAACACACAGACTCACCAAAAAGTAATTCTCTTCATAGCCTTTAGAGGCTTTGCTTTTAACGTTCCAGTTGTATTCTCTAGCCATTTTATACTCATAGGTGTCCTCGTCCATGTATGGTATGTTTTCATTAACATCACGACGTCGCTTCTGTATTGTTTCCTCGGTGGGAAGACAATAGGCCACGAACTGTTCACCACTTTCATCCATCACACCTCTAAAAACGAGTATTTATATAATTGATATTTTTGAAATCATGAAAGGTTCCACTGTCGATTCTTTCATTTGAAGTTTTTTTTTTGCTTTGGCATCTATGTATTTTTGTTGCTATGTAATAGAATCTTTGAATGTCATTTTCACTAACTTTAAGACATCTAATGAACTTGAAAGCATAATATACATTAAGGAACGATGACATTACAATAAATTTACAACTTTTCTCTACTATTTTGATCAGTATCAATAAGATAAAAAAAATATTCATTGTTAGGTCAGTCTGCTCTTGAAGTGTTTTTTTTATTTTTTAAACTACATGTATTATTTTATACAATCAATTTATGATAGTAATATATTTATTTATTCAACTTCATGCACAAAGGCACAATGGCGGACTTAATGCCTGAGGCATTCACTACCAGTGAAGCAAGGGTGGTGTAGAGAGTCATGTTGTAGGTGCATTACTTTTTGCGAAAATAACAAAATTTTATAATAATAATAAATAAATATAATAAAATAATATAATAAATATATACTGTTACAAAGAAAGATCTAGCTTACTGTAGATAATTTAAACTACAATACAATCTGTAACCTAATAATGTGTCAGTTTGTCCTTTATTTTAGCACTACAGCAAGGATATACACATAGATGCATATCAGCAAAACATTGCCGTGTTAAAAAGAAAATTATTAAGCATTTTTTATGAGAATGTGTAGCATGGTGTATTTTTAAGTATCAGGTAGTTTGATCTGCTTTCAGCATCAGTACTTTTTCCATATTTTTACTTTGATACCCCATCAATATGTTAATACATAGAACCCACCTAATCATAGCTTGTGACATGGCCTCCATTTGTCCTGAGAAATTCTTGTCAGCGGGTGCTGGATCTGAATCAAATATAACCTGAGCACAGGGATATTTCCACATGTCAAAATCAGGAAATATTGGCATTACTTCCACTGGGGTCACACCAGGTTTGCTGTAATGCTTCTCTATAGGTCTCTTGTTGTCTTCAAATGTCTTTTCAATAGCTTTGATTTGACTTTCTCTATCCATATATAGTGTTTCTTCACTAAATATCTTTTTAACATTATAACCCACTTTGGCTTCCACCTGTAACATGTCAGAAGTCATAATAAGTCTTCAGACCAATCTCAAAGACAAAGTAAAAGGAAGTGATGACTGCAGTTGTTTCTACGGTAATTCTCATAGGTAGATACTATCATTCTTCTGATTTTGGCACAAAGCAACTTTATGTACCAGTTAGCAGGACAGACATCCATTACACAACACAATTGAAACTTTGATCTCTTGACTCAAGGTGGATGATAGCATTTACTTCATGATTTCTATGGGCGTTGGTAACCATTTAAAACCAGGAAGCTCTCATCATCAACAACCAAATTAAATTGTATTTATAAAACTCAGAAAACATTTTTAACAAATTAAATGGTTCCGGCTCCTTTATTCACTAAATAAATGGAAGGATAACCCAGAATTACCAGTGTGGTTTAAGTGGTACTAAACACTTTCCACAATTCTTTCTGTTATATTAAAGTAACTTGATTATTTTACTACTTCACCTTTTCCATGGACTGAGGCTGAAATCTAGTAGCTTCCGTAGATATATATTCTGAACGACGTAACCATGAAACATTTTTGGCATGATGACGGGATCTCTTTGAATCTTGGGGCGTGAGGACATCATCTTCAAGCAACTTCTCGTCTGCAGGATCCAATGGTGCATTACCATCTCCTTGGTATATATCTCGGTTGATCAAATCTATGTGCACTCCCAGATCATGTTCTGTGAGAACTTCATAGCGATAGCTTTTCTCTAAAGAGGTCGGATTGTACTGTACGAAGCGCGTCGAAGGAAATGGGTACGTTATGAATTTCAAGTCAAACGGTATGTCAGGCAGTGTGTTACAATATTTCACTTTAGTTAGCAGCTCTGACCTAATAAAAGAAGTGAGGAGTTAACTTATGTGTTTAATATTATTATTATCTGTCAAAATGCTATAAACTAACCTCCTCTCTCCGGTCCTTGTTGGCCGTTTATCCCTTTCTGCTTCACCTGTTTGTATTGTGGGTGGCATTTTATCATTTATTTTCACTTCATTTTAATATTCACTTGTATACAGATTTTATATCCTTAGTTATCAAGTTTACTTGTCAGCTTTGAACTCAATATTATAAATATATTTTGTTATTTTCCAGGTGATGCAAAACGCGACAAACAACTTCAAACAAGGTCAGTTACGTCCTTCTAGAGTTGAAGTTGAATGACGTTAATGTATGTTGACGTTGACATTAAGTTGATTTTAGTGAATGTTAAACGTTCTTAGTTCTGTGTGGATGTTTTGCTCTGAAATAAGAGAAAACCTTTACTGAATATAAGGTTTTAATAAGCTAAAATTAACAGTAAAATTTGCTTTGATTACATTAGATACATTGACAAATAACGAATAAAACAGATTGACAATGACGTCAACTTATGGCTGATAATTTCAACTAAGAAGTTTACATCATTCTCCCGCACTATTTTAAAATATAATCTTTCAAAAATCCTGGCGTTTTATGGACGCGACCAGATCTACGAAGTGTTGGCTCCGGCGGTGGTGATGATGGTAATTCTGTCTCTAGCTCTCTGCTATTATCAAGTACCACAGGTCCCGTTTCATTGGATGAAGGAATCTCCAAGTTTTGGTCTTCTGTTTCCGGAAGTGGTTCTGCGACGTTATGATAATGTGGTAATTATGTTAAATAATAAAACATAGTTCTTCGGATGTACATACTGACTTTTTTATTCTTTACATAAAATTATACGACTAACTAATTGTTGCTAGGCAACAACTATTCTTCTTAATACAAACTTATGATGGTTATATATACTAAGAAGGCCAGTTCTAACACCCCCACTTAACCACATAAGTTTTATACATTTATTAAGTTTAATTCTGTTTACTGGTTTTGTTTTGNAAACATAGTTCTTCGGATGTACATACTGACTTTTTTATTCTTTACATAAAATTATACGACTAACTAATTGTTGCTAGGCAACAACTATTCTTCTTAATACAAACTTATGATGGTTATATATACTAAGAAGGCCAGTTCTAACACCCCCACTTAACCACATAAGTTTTATACATTTATTAAGTTTAATTCTGTTTACTGGTTTTGTTTTGCATCAGCGCGTTGTATTCATCTAGCATGGCTGTGTGCCATAACTCTCGATCCGAACGTTTCAATGCGTCTTCAACTGACTTAGGATCTGATCCCTCGGTAATCAAAAAATTATAGATCATATCTTCTTGTACTTTGGGACGTCTAATCCTCTTTGAATAACGACGTTCGTTTGTAGAGGTGGTTGATTCATTTGTAGAGGTGGTTGGATCAGGAGTATTCATTCCCAATTCCCCCACTGCATCAGGATCTCCTATATGTACAGGAACCTGAGGCATTACCAGATGATCATTATTATTTACTAAAACCTCATTGCTCTGCGCACTATCCACATACTCCAGATGAATGGTCTCTTTGCCATAATTCTGAACATTTTCAAAAAATACTGCGTCCCGAGCGATTATTAGCCGAGTTGGATTCTTAATATCCACGAAACGATAGCCTTTTTGATTCAAACTATAGCCAATCATAATTAATTCTCTTGACTTTGAATCAAATTTCCTTCTATTGTTTCCCTTAATGAGTACTTGAGCTTTACTANAGTCCGCACGGGTAGGTACCACCGCCCCGCCTATTTCTGCCGTGAAGCAGTAATGCGTTTCGGTTTGAAGGGTGGGGCAGCCGTTGTGACTATACTGAGACCTTAGAACTATATCTCAAGGTGTGTGGCGCATTTACGTTGTAGATGTCTATGGGCTCCAGTAACCACTTAACACCAGGTGGGCTGTGAGCTCGCCCACACACATAAGCATTAAAAAAAAAAAAAAAAAAAAAATGGCGTTAAGGGGTTATCGGAAAGTTCACAGACGTAAATGTGAGATTAAGACCTCACTTAAACTGATAACAGAAATAGTCAGCAGGACAGGAGCTACCCACGTATTATCACGTAACTGAACATCTTCAAGGATAAAAGCTCAAAACTATAACTTTCTTACCTAAAATCACAATTGTAATAAAAAAACGGTAATTTCGTCAACAAAATGCCTTAAAAGTATGTACCGCGTAAGTAGCGGTCGTGCAATAGTAAACCTGGAAGCGTTCTCGTGTTATAACAACTACGTGCGCTTCTAGATCGTTCTCTGTCTGGATTTCTGTTTAACTCCTTGCCATTGTGTTCGTTAATCTCTAATGACTTTTACCTGAAGTGATTTGATACACTGTGAGGAGTATTTATTACTAAAAGTAACTATAGTATATATTCTGTTACAAACAGAATCGCGCTGGTGTGAACGGGATATGGTTTTCCTAAAACGTTATTTATTACACTTGGCTAAATTTAGTCGACTGAATTCAGTCGCTACTGAATTCAGTGAAGTGTAATAGCTTTAAGTAAGTTAGCCTACTAAATTCGGTAGTATGGATGTTTTCTGACTGACTAAATCATTAAGAAGCCTAATTAGAAACGCATTTAGGAAGGTGTAATCGCATTTAGCTACTAAATGGTTTCAGTCGTCTCATGGTTCTCCGTGCGTAAGGACGTTTTACTTTGTTTTTTACTTCCGAATAAAAAGTATTAATTTCGGTCACCTTTATTTAATGTAACAGACATTCATAAATAGCCCGACATGTTTCAGGGATGATTTTTGTCATCAGGGGTTGGGATATTGAAGAACTAAATTTGAAATCTTGATACAAATTTCCTGTTGCAAGAAATCTTAATGTTACAACCAATCTATTTTTTGGACTTGTACTATTGTAGGATTAGATATGTAATAGTAATATAATAGATATATAATAGAATATCGTAGGATAGTATCCTGCTTTTGAATAATCGGTGTCACAAGGTTTAATATTAGGTCAAACGAGCTCGAATCCATTTATAGATAATTTCTGAAGTCTGCTGGTTCTAAATCATTCATATTTGCTATCTTTCCGCGGAGCAATAAATATTTCTTCACCCATTTTTTTTAATTGAGCCGACAGCGGCTGCTTCGCCAAGACAATTTTTTGTTGTCTAGACAATACTGGGGCCATCCTCGTACACACACGACACGTCCAACTTCGTCGCGCTTAAACTGACAATTGATTCAGTAACTGAATTTAGAACAGTGTAATCAGAAGTTTCTAAATTTGCTTCTGAATTCAGTCGACTAAATTTAGCCAAGTGTAATAAGCCTTTAAGGTCGAACATAGACCGACATAGAGACTTGTTACGATGGAGGGTAGTTAGTAATAACAATAAAGCTTTATTTAAATCGACATCCATAGAATCCGCGTGTCTGATTCGCGTTAATGATATAAGCGAGTTTGCTTACAAAGTTGACGCCTACAAAATGTACTCGCCTGGTGAAGTCGTATCGATCAACTGCGCCGCGGCTATGCCGATGTTCAAACCCCGAAGACAGGTGCCAATTTTTAAAGAAATTTGTAGATCACAAAAGTGTTTTTGATGTAACTATTTATGTGTACTATTTTTAGATATTTCTTCTACTTCTATTAGATCTTTTTGGCTAATTTTTAGATTTTAAGCCAATGGGAATTGAGTTTTATGAGTGACAAAATATAGATTCATCTTTTGATTGAATTGGCTGAAACCTTGAGATTTTTGTAACTTCCCTTTATTTGGACTTTAGATTTGAACTAATTTAAATTAAATACCTACATTTATCTGTTGCTGAGTATAATAGAACACGCTAGACAACAGAAAGAGCCTGACATGTTCTATTTTTTCTTTTTCAGGGCAGGGACCCATTATTAATACTATTAACATTTCAATAAACCTAATAATAATCAATGTATACAAAATCTATGTAAATAAAATATTAATACAATTTGTTGCAGCTCATTCATAATAAATAATTTCAAATTGCATTTTGTTTGATCTCTATCCAAGGTTAGGTGGAGCTAGTAAATTAAAGAAATATTATAAATATAAATCACAATCAAGTTATTATAATACTCTTATTACTATTCTAGTTCGGCAATCGAAACCACAGTCTGCCTAGTGTTAGGACTGGATGGTTATTGTAATCTGTGTAACCAATGAAATGGATCACTTTACCTACATAAGGTAGAAGAGCCAATGCAACTGCTAAGTGCAAAGTGTAGAGGCATCGGAATAAGGATGAGGAACAGGAATGCAACAAAAGGTAAGCTGATGATGTTAACTCAAATTTCCACTAGGACCAATTTTTCGTTAATATAAATGTCTTTCGCATAATGCAACGCTAAAATCAATTAAACGCCAAACTGCTTAAAGGCTTTAAATTCTTAGCCATAAATTTTGGAATCCGTCCTAGACATTCCTCTTTATAATTGGCTCCAGCATTTGTTCTATCTCTGCAGCTATAAAATCTTTTATCACGATCCGCGGCGGGTGGAGTCCGGGGCCGCGTCGCCTCCGGCACTGTTAATAACTCATATTTCTATTACCGTAAATCGCTGTGACTAGCACGTTTCTGTCGTACGCACTGGGTACAGGATGTGCGCGCACTGGCGTTGAGAACTTACGCGTTTCTGGGTGTGTAAAATTGGAGTGATTTGTTGAGATTGTTGAAGCGCAATTGTCTCATCATTATTAAATTTATACAGTGCAGTGATCATACAGACTGCCTCTACGTTCAGGAAGCAGTAATGCGTTTCGGTTTGAAGGGTGGGGCAGTCGTTGTAACTATACTGAGACCTTAGAACTTATATCCTAAGGTGGGTGGCGCATTTACGTCGTAGTTGTCTATGGGCTCCGGTAACCACTTAATATGGTGTTAACCGCAATAACAAAAGAAAAACATTAGGAATTTTATTACATTACTTTTAATTTTAAATCTAAAACACCGGCACGCTTATTAAGATAGTTTATGTTAATTTCTCATTTATAAAGGGTAAAATTTTAAAATGACAACGGACGTGCTTCCTCCTAGATTAAAGTCTTTCAAACTCTAATGAAACTTTTTGTCTATGCTCATGGATCACGGATCGTTTGGAGCCTCTGGGTCTGCGGAGGGACTTCGGTTCCCTCTGTATTTTGTACCGCATGTTCCATGGGGAGTGCTCTGAGGAATTGTTCAAGATGATACCAACGTCTCGTTTTTACCATCGCACCGCCCGCCACCGGAGTAGAGTTCATCCATACTACCTGGAGCCACTGCGGTCATCCACAGTGCGTTTCCAGATATTTTTTTTGCCACGTACCATCCGGCTATGGAATGAGCTCCCCTTCACGATGTTTCCCGAGCGCTATGACATGTTCCTTCTTCAAACAAGGCTTGTGGAGAGTATTAAGCGGTAGGCAGCGGCTTGGCTCTGCCCCTGGCATTGCTGAAGTCCATGAGCGACGGTAACCACTCACCATCAGGTGGGCCGTATGCTCGTCTGCCTACAAAGGCAATAAAAAAAAATATGGTTGTTATTATAGCAAAGAGTAGAGGATCAATTTGTAGTCTGTATTTTTACTGAGTGTTTTTGTGAATGGTTTGTTCCCTTGCGGTAAAATTAGAACAGCTGTTTTATATTTAATGTGTTCATTTGGTTGTGCATATATTTGGTCTGGATAATCTAATCGATTCCCAACCGGGGAAGAATGCAGAGCTTATTCAAGGTATGTTAAGTCCTCCATATACATCTAGGATAAGGATATATTTAGCCACTATTCTTATTGCGCTGTTAATCTATTAGAAAGGCAGCGTTAATCAGATCCGATGCGAAGCTCCCACAAGCTTCAGCGTATGTGTCTCAAGGGAGGCACCAACATCTCGCACTCACTTCTTTATATCAGCAGTAGATCCTCAACTTACGCGCCTCGTTCTACTAACGGCCAATTTTTTTCTCGAAAAAGTTACTCTAGAAATATTTGAACTGGATTTGAGTTATGTGATTGGATTTTAAGATTCTGGATACATTTAGTACGATTTTGTTGAGTTCACAATATAAATATTATCAGAGTTTTTGTCGAACGGTACCAAATGTACATATTACTCTGTCAACTTGTGTTTTATATGCCCAAAAAGTAATTTCAAGGAAGGGACGTGTTGTATTTTAAACGTAATCATCATTCATCATCATCATTATCCTGCCCTTCTCCCAGTTACCTGGGGTCGGCGCAACATGTTTTCTCCTTCCATATTCTTCTATCATATACCATTTCGTCGCTCACTCCCCTCTTACCCATATCGTCTTTCACGCAATCCATCCATTTCTTCTTAGGTCTACCTCTTCCTCTATTACCTTCCACATTCATAATTAGCATTTTTTTACCAATCTTCTTAACAGCACGTAATATAGTCTGGTAATGATAGTTTAATTGATGGTATTCAATCTCACGCGATTTCTCCTTTCCAACCTTATAGAGGTTCTTATCGAGTTTTAGTTACAAGCGGACAAGGATAATATGGTTTGTGTAACTAGTTTGTTACCAAAGTCTCGAATCATGTGTTTCGGTAAAGGACCATCGAAGCCATTGTTCCAATCCGACGAGACCACGACCTGATATCTCACCATGTCGCCATCACACAAACTTGAGTTGCAAATAAAGTTGCATTCGGCGTTACCCGCTCTTAATTGAAATTACCATTTAGCCGAATGCAAAATCATTAAT